TTTGAGAATGATGAGGGCAACAAATGTACAAATGTGCTTGACATACAATGGATGGATGGATGGATTGTGATAAGAGTTGTAAGAGCCCCAATAAAATTATTTTTTTAAAAAACTGCAGTGTGAAACCTGGGTGACTCACAAACATTTGTTTGTATGAACATTACATGCAAACCACATGCAGGTGACACTGAAACACTTACCTGAGGAAGCTCGGGGGAGGGGGTGGGGAATCCTAAAGGGTTTCCCTGTGAGAGCTAGTGTGGCTCCAGTCTTGCTGCTCCTGAGGGAGAGAGAGGTGTGGGGGATGTGACACCCATTTCCCCACTGCTGCCAAGTCATAGCCCACTATGGGATAGCGGGGGAGGGCTCCCCCAACGAGTGTCCAAGACTGTCAGTCTTTATGGAAGCAGGCTGTCGCACCTTTTGGCCGGGGATCCGCTGCTGGGTCCCACCAGGTCCCACCCACCCACGTCTAGGTTAGCGGTCCATGCTTACCCCCGGGCCACCAGAGCTCCAGGCTCTTTTAGAGAAGCTGTTTTTAACCGTCGGAAATGTCCTTGTAGGAGGATTGTTGTCCAAGTCGCTTGGAGTAAGCACGATAGATCACAAAGCAAAGAACAGGTCTTCCTTCTGTGTGCTTGATTGGATCTGTGGCGCAGACAGTGAGTTCTAGTCTGGACACCAGACTAGCAGAGCCCAAGCCCCAAGCCGTTCACTCTAGAAGTCTCTCCAGCACATGGTGAGGTTTTCGGCTGTGGCGCAGAATCCTCTTCCCCTGTTGAAGGCCATCCGCATGTTCACCGTGTAGCCGTCGTTCTTCTCAGAAGAGCAAACAGCCTAGGGTGAATTTATGGGAAGGAAGCACCTGGAGGTGAAACATTTGGGAAGATCCTCTCAGGCGTTTTTTCCCTCAGAGCCCCCAGCACTGCCCCTGCAATGGATGGGTCATTAGGAGAAAGTATAAGATGAGTGGAATGAGGCCTAAGATATAGTCATGACTAGAAAGTGCTCGGGACTTCAGGTGTAAACCACTTTCCCTTCCAGGTCTTTGGAAAGAGTGGCTAGCCAATGAGGGTGTCTGATTCCCAGGTGGATGGAAGAGAATTCAGTTTCCATTGTGTCCCTCAGAACAGGCAGAACATGCTATTTCTTGGTCCGGGACAAAGCCCAATGACACTTCTTGCAATGGCTTCAATTCAGGGCAGGGGACACCGTGACTTTCCTTGTCACCATACCTTAACCCAGAAAGCTGCAGGTCACCTTGAGCACCTGCTAGGTCCACACCACCTTCATCTTTCAGGAGGGTGTGTGCATGGCGAGTGCAGAGGCTTTTCGACAAGCAGTCCCTCCTCACTGTCCAGAGATCAACTGGCCTCGGTCAGCCCAGCTGCACCGCTCTCAAGATCGTTTCCAAGGCCCATAGCTGGGGTCCTGAATCCGAGTCTACTGCACTACCTGGTTTTGAGAAGCAGAGAGCCAGGCCTTACTTCTGAGGGTGAGCTTGAACGTCCAAAGCCTTCAACAGGTTAACTGTTGGCACCACAGTGACTCCCAGACATGGTGAATGAGAGACGATGCATCATGGAGCCCTATCCGGTGCCAGCCCAGCGCTGCCTGCTAGATTACAGCCCATGCTGACACCTTCGATTCTGAGCTGTGGGTTTGCCGAACCATGCCTGTACTCTGCTGCATTTTAGGATTAAAATTGGAGAAGGGGGAGGTGAGAAAACCCACCACCAACTGCCCCAGCTCCTTCGGGAGCCCTCTTTCAGATATGCAGAGTAGGAGCCAGGCCCTGAAAGATGAGTGGCAGGAGCGACTGCAACCCTCTGTGGTGGCTTATCGGCACAGTGTGTGGGTTCAGGGCACGGGAGCAAGCAACAAGCAGTTCAATGGCAAGAAATGAGAAGAGCCCGCCTTCCTCGCCGTGAGCTAGTCTTTTCCTCCCACAGCATCCCAGAGGCTTCCCCTGCAGGTGTCACCTGCCCTGCGTGGCACTTGCGCTGTGGCCCCTGGTCAGTCTTCCTGCTCATCCTTAGTTACTCCTTTGTCAGGATGACAATGCAGCGTGTCCTCCTATAAGGTTCTGCTACTGACAAATGGAGAACTGCCCCAAGGCCGTGATCCGACTGCACTGTCTTCCTCAGAGGAAGTGGCTAGATTTGAAAAACCACACCTGATGGTTAGCAGCCAAGCACTTTCCTTTGGGCTAATCTGCTGCCAAAGCAATGACTAAGGTGTGAGCGACCTACCTACGGCACTTTCAATCGCCTCCTACGCATGTGGAAACCGGATAATGAATGAAGACCAGAGAATTGCTGCAGGCACTGGCCAGGGATACAGGAAGTACCTGGGCGGCCGGAACAAATCATGTTTGTACAGCCAGAGTGCTTCTGAGAAGAGAGGATAGCAAGACTTCATCTTCCATCATGTTTCAGGCAAGGCCAGTCCTTGGAGAAGGGCATCATGCTTAGTGACGCTGAGGGCCAGTGTGAACGAGGAAGACCCTAAAGCGGCACACTGATGCCGTGGTTGCAGCGGGGGCTCAAACCTATCAAGCACTGTGGGGATGGCGCAGGAGCAGGCAGTGTTCCATCCTGCTGAGCATGGGGTCAGAGTCGGAGCTGACTCGTCGGACAGAACCCTAACAAGAACCGACAAATGACTGCCAAGCCATGACTTGATTTGAGCATCGGGGATGTAAGGGCAGATACCCTCCACCGTCTGGAGAAACCCCATCTTCTGATGTGTGTCTGGGGTAAATACAGAATCACTTCTCTGCGTGTTCCAAAAGCACCCTGGGAAGTCCCAAGCATATTAATATTACAGACTGGTTTATTTGGATTGTCATGTGACAATGGGACAAGTGTTAGAGGCTGGCCTTAGAGAAGACAAGGTTCCAGTGCTCTCTCTACAGTGTCTGGAGGGAACGGGAGCACTGACAAATGGGTTGGAAGCCAAGGACAGCAGACTTCCTCCCGCCCAGCTCCCGGGTGACCTGGGAATGTCTCTTAGCATTTCTGCATGTCACTGGCCGCCTCCACAGGAACCAGCTGCCATGCATTACACAACCCTAGAAACCTCAGGGGTGAGAAACAACACAGATTAAACAGTATCTCTGCCCACCTGGTGCCCAGGCTTGCTTTGGATTCTATGGCCAAGAAGGCCATAAGAAATGTGAACTTGTTTCTTCTGATATTGGAGGGAGGAGCAGCAGCAGTGCTAGCACAGTCCAGCAGGTGGTGCTCTTGACAACAGCCATCTAGGGGAAGGGGTCAGAAGAGGCAGGGTCTTGAGACTGGCCTGGCCAAAGGTCACTATGAGCATGTGGGATTGGGTGTGTGGAGGGACCAGGTGCTGCTGAGTGGTGTGAGGCTCACTTGGCCCCTGGCTTGGCTTAGAGACACTTGGGCTTCCCTAGAGGCCTCTGGGGTTGCCTCAGAGTGCAGTGAGCGTATGGCCCTACTCACCAGTGAAGTCTGGATGCTATCCCCACCACACCAGCCACTGGCCTGGCCCCTCGGGGAGGGTCATGGTCCATTGTCCCCAAGCACATAGGCTGAGAAGCGCTCATTGCCCTGGTCAGAGCCAGTCATGTGAGGGCCTGAGAGGGACACCAGGGTCTGTGGGGAAGTTGGTCTGCACAGGGGAGAGGGAAGCTACAGTATTTGAACCATGTGTCTGATGAGGTGTGTGCGGGTGGGCTGGGGAAGCGCTAGGAGCGCCCTACCTCCTTCAGGACCTGTGGCACGTTAACATGCCTGCCAGGGGCAGGGCCCAGACAATCAGCCCTGGATTTCCCCCAGTATTCCCGGCTGTTCCTGTGACCCAGGAGCCCGAGAAGTGACTATGCATTGGGTTTTGTGTCCACTCTAACGTCCACACACCACCAGGATCAGCAAGGCTGTCTTGCCAGTGGCACTGGCAGCTCCCTCAGTGCTAATGCCACCCTTTCGCGTCATTCCCCATTAAAAACTAGGAAACTCTGCTAGCCCCAGCATGCCTTCCACTCGATGGGAACCCAAGGCGGCCACTGAGACAAACGCGGGTGGGCCCAGTACTTGTAAATTTTATATTTATTATTACAAAAGTACGACCTGTTTATTGTGCATTCTGCTTTCATAGAACTCTTGGTATGTAAATGATCTAGTTGAACCCTAGACAGTCATGCTGATTGTGGCAGCAGTAAGGGACACAATTAAAAAGTGTCTCAAAGTTGAGGGAGGGCTTGAGGCTCGGGTGCGGGTTCCCCTCTGGGGGCCGACAGCGTTCCCGGGTGAGGAGCAGCGCTACTCCGCTCGTCTTCACCCTGTCAGGAGTTCCAGGTGGGGGGCGGGGAAGGACGGGGAGGGACGCTGTCAGTTTGGGCTGTGTCCTTACGCCATTGCCAAGACTACAAAACGTTTTAAGCATCACTATACAACACTGAGCTATTTACAATAGAAATGTCTCAATCAACTGTTCTCTCAGAGAAAATTAGTGGATCCCAGTGACTTCTGTCACCTGACAGAGTAAAGCAACTCCTAAGAGTTAGTCTCCGTGTTCTACAAACATCTATCGTTTTCAAGACAAAAAAAAGAGAGAGTCACGTAGCACTGGCCACCTGCCCTGCCTTCCGAACAAACAGAACAAATCGTTTTAACAAATATCCCATTACCGTTACTGTTTCTCTGTAATATATTAAGCCTTCTGTTCTTTGTCTTTACACTTTTGATATGTTAAGGGAAGAGGTTAACAGAGGTGGTAAATCATATTGGTAAAGCATCACTAGAAGAGAAGTGGTCATTATTTTTAAAAAAAACCGACAAACAGGAGAGGACCTCCTACAAGAGGCTGCGGGGGCAGAGGGGAGGCGGGTGCCCGTGGCGCCGCCGGTCATAGCGGCGTGTCATAGTAGTCCGGCAGCGGCTCCGGCGGGGGCACGGGCTGCGGCGGCGGCGGCTGCTCCTGGTGGTGCTTCATGAGCTCTTTGACCTCCTCTTCCAGCTCCGGCGGGATGATGAACTGGTCATCTGGGTCCGGCTGGGCGGGGGCCGCAAAGTAGCCTCCGGGCTTCCGCAGAGGCGCGTCGGCGGCCACCTCGATCACGTTGTGGCTCCTTTCCTGGGGCGCCACTGAGCCGTTGGCCCTCCGGCGCCCCATGGTCCCCACCGTGGAGAAGTCCGCCTTCCTGGGCAGCCCAGGCTCATCCTCGTTGGCGCTGATGACGATGCCCTCGTCGCTGGCCTCGGCCGGCACCTGCAGCAGGCTCGGGCGCCTCTCCTTCTCCCGGGCCCGGCTGCAGTGGATGTCCACCTCCACCTCCACCCGGCTGCCATTGCTGAACACGCCCTCTATGGGCTCCTCGTCCTCGCTGTCCAGTCCGTTGTCCGAGAAGGCGCTAGAGAAGGTGGCGCTGGAGAGCTGGCGCTGGAAGGCGCTGGCCAGGCAGACGGGGTGCAGCATGCAGCGCGGCTCGCTGGGGTAGGCGGGGCTACTCTCGCTCAGGGCACCTGAGGGGGGCTCGTCGGAGGCAGTAGAGCCCACCTCGCTGCTCATCTCCGACGTGGAGATCTCGCTGCTGATCTCGGAGGCCATGCCGCTGCTGGAGGAGGGCACGCCCAGCCCGTCGGCCGGCCGCTCCTTGAGGACCATGCTGACCGAGGGGGGGTAGAGGCCGGGGCTGGGCGGCGGCACGGGCCCGCCGGCGCCCAGCTCGCAGCAGCAGCAGCTGTCCTCGGAGACGTTGAGCTGCACCACCACGGCGCTGACGCTGTCGTGGCAGCCGTAGCCCTGGGCCAGCGTGCACAGCTTCTTGGCGGCCGCCAGAGCATCGGGCACGTTCCGCACGGCCTCCACGGCTTCCTCGGTGGACAGACTGTCCCACAAGCCCTTGCTGCCCAGGATGAAGAACTCGTCCTGGGGGGTCAGCGTTACCGACTGCACGTGAGGGCGGGGCACCACGCTGGGGTGGAGGAAGGTGTAGCCCAGGATGCGTGTGGACTCGGTGACACCATTCACCTTGCCGTCCTGCAGGAAGAAGGGCGGTGAGTAAGCACTCCACGCACAGACTCCGGGTGACAGGGGGAGGGCCACAGGGAAGTATGGCGAGGGCATAGGGGGCACGGGGAAGTGGGGGGAGGGGCAGAGGGCCACCATGGGAAGGGATTAAAGGCCACAGAGAACAATGGATAGCGGGGTGGGGGGAGGGGAGGAGTCCTGCTGCTACCCCTTTGGTGCATCAAACAAAAGTGGCCACCATGTCTGCATTCGAGCAGATGAGATGGGCACCATTTATAAAAGCCAAGCCAAACTCATTGCCGTTAAGTCTATTCCAGCTCACGTCTGGTGGCACAGTGGGTTAAGAGTTGGACCAATGTCCTCAAGGTCAGCAGTTTGAAACTGCCAGCTGCTCTGGGCTAGAGAAAGATGAGGCTTTCTACTCCTATACAGATTTACAGCCTTGGAAACCCACAGCGGCAGCTCTAGCCTGTTCTACAAGGTCGCTGTAAGTTTACACAAAAGGTTACAAGCCCCCAGCATCACTGGAGGGAGAAGACCTGGGTGACTTGTGGGGCAAGAATGTGCACACTTAAAGAAGGGTCAATTCCTTGAGTTTCTTGACCATGGCTTCCTGGTGGCAGGTGGAGGGTGAGGTCTCCTGGCTTTGTGCAGCAGGGCTCAGACCACTTTTCATGACAAGCTAAGGCTTGGGCCATTTGCCAGCTAGAAGGCATTTTCCTGGGAGTGCCCGGCTCGTCCCTGGAGTGCCTGCCTGTTCGGTTCTCTAAATCTTACAAGTTTGAGGATCTCAGGCCCATGAAGCACCTGTACCGGAGCCTACATGGTTTTTCATTGGTTGTTTCTGCGGTGGTGATGGCAATGAAAGTAGACACAGCAAAGCCTTCGCCAATTCTACCCAGTCTCCACGCACAGCTCATCCTGCCTCCTTTTCCACATCAGCTCACCAGTCGATGCCCTCTCGGAGAAATTCCCGTTCCCTCACTCCTGCTCAGGGCTCATGAATTTTGGCTTCTATGTATCTACTCACATAGACATGAGATCACATAACATTTGTTCACCAGGTAAGCAAGGGCAGCTAACCAACCACTCTGTGGGAGAAAGTGACACTACCCGCTCCCATCAAGATCTGCAACAGCCTCAGAAACCCTACCCAGCCTCTATGATCAGAATCAGCTCGGGGGCAGGGAGTGTGGGGCGTAACGTTGTCACATTCATCGTGTGGTGGCATGCATCGAGACTTGGTTTCTCACAAAGGGAGCTGGGTACACTTCATTGATGCACAAAGCACATGCTGCCAATCGGTCCCTTCAGTTCACCCGCTGGTGGCCATTTGGACTGCTCCCACCCTGGGCTATTGTACAAAGTGCTGCTGTGAACCTGTGCTACATTTTTCACCATTTCAGTAAGAGCCCCTTTAAGGCAAATGTAAGCTGAAGCAGGTGTCAAGGAAGCAGTTTCTAATATGCAAAGAGGGCTTCCCCATTCCCTCAGGCAATTGTTTCTTCCAGACTATCCCCTGCCTGTCCATCCACCACCTCCCTTTGTCACTGACTGCACGGAGCACGCGGTGTCCTAGGGGACCAGCCTTCAGTTTTAGCTTCCCATCTCTCCTTTTCACACAAGCCCCCACCAGGCAGTGCGCACATCGAGCACGCTCGAGAGGAATATTAGGGAAATGGGCTTTAAGCACTTTTGCCTCCCTTGGCTCTACTGATGCAACAACGTATGCTACCTGAGAGTGAAACATGGCAAAATCTGCCTCTGCTGCTCCACCCAGCACTTCAGAGTTCGTCCATCGGACCAAGGGCAGACTGGGCTAGGATGAGAACTGCCGTCTTATTTGCAGGGGCACAGGAGGCATGAAGCCAAATATGCCAGGACAGACAGCATGATGTACACTTTGCAGAGAGGAAAACTGAGGCTCAGAGAGGTATAAAGGTCATCCCCTGTGTATAGCAGAGCTCGGATCTGCGCATACAGCGTGATCGCAGGGGAGAGCAGCATTCTCAGTCTCCTACCCATGGAGGGCAGAGGTACTCAGCAAGAGCTGTATTATTCAACACAGCATAATGCCCTCAGGCATGTCCCTCACGGAATCTGCTTTATGACACCATGGATATGGCACTGACTCCAGTCTCTCAGGTGAAGTACGGCCTGGCCTCCTCCTCTCTCACCTCCGTGACGATGGCCTTGTGCTGCTTAATCCGCCTCAGCTCCTCTTCGCAGCTCATGACGTACGACCTGGACAGAGGCAACGGCTTCCCATTCCGACACAGAACTGTCTGGCACTTGCCCACATTAGCTGAGGTCAGGGTGAAGGAACCCCCGGGGTCCACTGGGTCATGCTTGATGTGACAAAGGACGGCCGCACCGCCAAGCTTCTGCCCAGCAGTCCCAAGTTTCCTGAGATCCAAAGAGGAAAAACCAAACATAGCCATCACATGTCATGGTGCTTCCACAGAAGGGCCACCACCAACCAGACAGGGATAGGAGAGAAGCCTAGGACCACTCCAGTGTGCACTGCTCAGGGCTCCCAGGGGAACATCCATGGGCACACACCTGCCACACGAGGGGCTGTCACCTCAGCCTGGGAGCCACAGGAGCCCATCTGAACAACGGAGTCCGTCGCCTGGTATGGCCAGTGACCACCCCTGCTGGAGGGGTGGTCCAAAGATGGCAGGGAACAAGTATCCCTTCTCTTCCCGCAGTGGGAGAACCCGAGGGGCCGTTTCAATCAGCGCAGGTTCTGTTTCAGTACCACCCACGGATGCAGGTACTTCTACACCGTGGACCGCCCTGCTCTTTCCTAAGATGCTTGCACTGTGCACGTTCATGTCTGGGGTGTCCAACACAATAGGGTCTGGTGGACCAGTCTTGTCTAATTTAGAATATCCACACACCGCACTTTCTATTAACTATCCACCTCCACGGTGGAAAAGTTCCCACAATCACTAGGGGCAAGGAAGCCCTGCAAGTCCCATGAGAGCAATGCCTCCCAGGCCCGCCCCCTTGGTCTCACAGAAACAGACCTTCAGATACTGTTGACTCCTATGCAGTGGGAGCCAAGGGACCCCTGAGCAAGCACACCAGGGATCAGACCATCCCTAAGATACCCACACCCTACAAGTGATGATGAGTGGTGCATGAGGTGGGGCTGTGACTCGGGCCTGAACTCCCAACTTCTGGGCACCCGGGAGATACCAACTGCATTCCATATCCCATCACTCAGGGTGACAAAGTGCCGTTGTGGGTGGAAGCTTCAGGAAGTGCCTCCGGTGTCTGCAGCAGTAAGCAGGGTAACACAGGAAAAGGGAGAACCACTAAGCTCACTTAGCCCGCGCAGTTTCAAACCCATGGCAGCACTGCATGAATGTGAAATGGAGGCAGACACAGGGGCCATTTCAGAGAAGCCGGGTGTCGGAAGCCTTGGGAGTTCCCCAGTTTGTGGTGAACATTCTGGAGAAACCTGGCAGCATGACAGGACTGTGAGGTCCAGTTCTAAGAAAGAGAATCCCTGCCATTGGCCTAACCACTCTCATGTTTACACTCAACCTGAGAGTGTGGGGCAGCCTGCCTTCTGAGCGGCAGGTGGGCAGGCAGGTGGCAGGGCACTCTGCTTTACCTCTGCATGACTATGAAGGTGTTGGCCATGTACTCCTCTTCCCGCTTCGTCTTCTGCAGCTCCTCGGCCAGAATGTCGCTCATGGTGCACTGCAGCAGGTAGGGCACCTCCACGTTGCGGTCCCCGTCAAACACTCCATACAGGGCCTCCCGGTTGTCGCAGAAGTTGTTCACTGACAGGGCTGCAACGCACAACCTGCAACCAAAGACGATTGGGGCTCAGTGCCCCCTCCTCCTCTTGGTCCCTGGCCCAGCTTGGCCCCTTTGCCCACCTGGCCAGCTCCAGTGGGCTTACACACAGCATCTCTTCCAGCCTGACTCAGACAGCTTTATAGTGGTAAACTGATCCCTGCTAATTTACATCAGGGCTGGGGGATGGGGGGCAGAATTGACAACAAAGGGTTACTAAGGGGTGGGAGTAATACTGGGGCAGTGGGACCACTGTGTAGTTATAAATATAATAATAGAATCAACCTCTCTCTCTCTCTCTCTCGAACAGCTGGTGCCTTTGAACTGCTAACGCAGTTAGCAGCCCAATGCATAACGCACTGCTGCCACACCTGGGCCCCTTGCATCTCCTCAGGTGAACTGGAATGAGAAAGCAGGTTCACCTCCTGGTGTGTTTATAAGCAAGACACAGGTCCTTATATCTAAAGAATGAGCTTCAAAAAGCAACTCTGAAGGCAAGGTTCTCTCCTCACCAGTCCCTCGGACCACCACCATGAGCAACCCCTTCTCTGTAGAACACAAGATCCCATTCCACCCTGGGTGAAAGAGGGAGGATCCCTGGGCAGGCCCAGGTCTGGAGCGGAATCTTTCTCGGTCCCGAAGAAAGCAGTTAGTAAGGCAACAGTGATCCCACGCAGGGTGGTCGGCTCAGAGAGGCTCTCAGCCTGGAGGCCTGTGGAGCCACGGGAAGATCTTACATGTCTGGTCAACAGCTTGGGTGGGGAATTCTCCACCGGTCCATTCTAATGTCGATGCTACTTTGTGGCCATTCTCTACTAATACTTCATGTGCATATAGTTTAATCAAGTGATAATGACAATTAATAGAAGGATACTGTTTTAGGAGCCCTTGCCTGGTACACTGAAAGGACGGAGCTGTTAGTCCACCACAGGTGCCTCAGATGAAAGGCCTGGTGATCTACCTCCAAACAAAATCAGGCACGGAAAACTGTGGCCCATAGTTCGCCTTGGACGACAAAGGATAGCCGTGCGTTGGCACTGACTCAGCAGCAATTGGACTGCTTTTTCCGTAAATGTCAGCAGCCCCTCTCTTCACCACGAGGCGATTCATGGAGCCTGCTGTACATGACGTCTCACACTAGGCGTCTCAGTGACACCTAACGGCAACGTCAGTGTCTCACAACACAAGCAGGCCTGGAGATACTGACAGCTGAGAAGGGAGGGTGGTGAGAAACAGGAGGAGCCGGAGGTGAGACAAGCAGTTACTGCCGAGTGATCACTGCTGCCAGGCTCCTTCAGAGGGCAAAGCCCCCACAAACGACTGCCCAGCCCGTCACGGAGGTGATGTGGAACAGGGATCACCCACCCGGGCCAATTCACCTTCCACACGATGCCCGTTTTGCTTGATAAACAGGCTCTGGGAAAGAGAGAGGCTTTTCAGAGGAGCAGGGGCTCATTTCAGTGCTTGGGCCTTCTCCAAACATGGGGCCTATCCTGGCATCGTGGCCCGGCAACCTCGCTCACCAAGAGGAGACATCAAGTCGCACAGGGCTGTGGCTCAGGGTTCCAACAGGAAGGAGTGGCCCCCTGGGAGGCATCTCCAGTCTTGTCTCCACCAGAGAAGCAAGGCCACGAGAGGTGGGCAGCAGGCAGGGTCTCGCTCTGGGGTGCCACTCAACTTACTTGTTTTTCATGCCAGAAGCTTCCGTGTAGCCGTGGCTCCACACAGCAGGGGCACCCGAGGCATCTCCTGCTGAGGGCTGGTCGATCTTGAAACAGCGGATGTTGCTGAAGAGAGACCGTAGGGGGTCAGGAGTCTTTAAGGTGAGCCCAGGCAAATTGCTACCTCTGTCTGAGAGGACACTCCTGACCACTGCCCCCATCTACTGTCTGGCTTTTGGACCAGGCTTCTCTCACAGTGCAGGCCCAGGGCCCAGACTGAGAGCAGGCAAAGCCGTGCTGGCCAGGGGTCTGGTCCAGGCCAGCTAAATGGCCACTGGTGATGTGAATGGCTGCTCTCACCTTGGAAAAACAGGTTAACTTGGGAAAACAAAAGTTGGGTGCCTTCTTAAAACATGAACATCCAGCTTGGAAACGGGCAAATTCGAAGCCACAGTTTTGTTTAGCCGATTCGAGGGAATTTGGAAACGTTCCCAAATCCAATTTCTGTGCATGCCAAGCCGTTAGAATACCCAAAGACTCCCCTCCCCTCCTGCAGCTCTTTTTACACCTGCAGTGTCAACCACAATATGAAGAACTATCATAAAACACAACTTACAAAGCAAGGGCAGGATTGTCATCAAGGACTGGTTGTTCTGCGCGCTGACTGAATTCTTACTCATGGCAGCCTCTAGGGCAGCAGTTCTCAACTTGTGGGTTGCGACCCCTTTGGGGATCAAACGACCCTTCCACCTAATACATCCTGTATATCAGATATTTACATGATTCATAACGGAAGCAAAATGACCATTATGAAGTAGCAACGAAAATTATGCTATGGTTGGGGGTCATTACAACATGAGTGTATGAAAGGGTTGCAGCATGAAGAAGGCTGAGAACCACTGCTCCAGGGCAAGGGAGAGGCCAGAGCAGTTGCAGGGCCGCCATCTCCTTGGGGGAAGACTGCCAGGTCTTTCCTCCCAAGGAGCCAATGGTGGGCTTGACCCACTGAGTCTCTGGCTGCTGCTCAGCGCTAACCCTGTGCCACTGGACCTCCTGTGTCAGTCAGTCATGTGGGTGTCAACCGGCATCCCAAGGTTCTGACCTGACCTCCGCACTCTTATGCCATGACTGGTCAAACAGGGCCTAAGACGGAACTACGGAAGGGAAACCTTCCAATGGAGCCCATTAAACATGAGCCAATACTTCTCTGACTCAGCAGCCTCACAGAGGGTTCCTGAAGAACGGGAAGTGGGTGTTTGCCAGTTCAGTTTAACTTCTGAAGACTGTCTGCCTGGAGGATTGTGTTCTTCCAAGATCAAGCTCTAAGGGGCCACAATGACAGCACTGACTCCAGATCATGACCCAGATTTCTTATTGGGGGGCAGTGAGTTTAGGTTCATGGGGGGAAGGGTGAGGTGGGGAAGAACTCAGAAAAGGAGGGTGAGCATGTTTGCTCAACTAGAAGGATGTTGACTGGGCGTGGAGGAATCGCTGAGCTGGCGTAGGGTCTCCTGTGTAGTCTCAACAACAAAAATAAATTTTACTTAAAAGAAAAAATGAAAGGCTGGCTACCACATAGTGAAATATCTGCAAATTACCACCAGCCCCTCTCTCTATTAATTAAACAAGGTTAAACCCTATGTATCTACTCTTAGCAACTTGCACACTTTATCAGACCCCAGGAGAGTATAGTATCTCTCGGTGCTCATTAACTCCAAATTGTAACACAAACTAAGTAGCCTTAAAAGGAATGAATCTGCTCTAAGAAGTTAATCAATATTGGACTAGTATTCACTTTGATTCTAGAACTAAATGGTGCCATGTATTTGGTTGAAATTTTGAAATATTTGATTACAGGAAAAGTTTCTGTTCTCAATTATCAGCAAACATTCAATTTTCTCTTATTAAAAAAAAGACATCAGAGATACGGTCACTAGAGATGTTAAGTATTGTCAAGTCAGCTCCAACTTCTGCATAAACAGAAACGAAAGGTTGCCTGATCCTGCGCCATCCTCACAATAGTAGGGTGTTTGAACGCTCTGAATCATAGCCACTGGGTCAGTACACCTCACTGAAGCTCCTCCTCTTTTCCACTGGCCATCTACCACAAATGATACTCAAAGTGCTAAGCAACATAAGTCTTACACTCCTTACTGCTGAGGTGCAGCCTGGCTGCCTACCCATCACCCGTTTGTTCTCCATATACCTGGCACCATCTTACCCGCTGGAAAGGGTACAGAATGCAATGGGATTCTTAAGGCACACCTTAAAATTCTCACTACATCTTCACACGTTAGGAAAAACAGAAGGCTCACTTCTAAAGACATTAGTATTTTTTAATGTGTTTTCCTTTGAGTACGATCTGACTGCAACCTTAAGGAGAGAATGAAAACGCCCCATTGTGCACCGTCCGTCCTCACATCCACCAGTGTGCTTGAGCCCGTCATGGTGGCCGCTGGGCCCTGGGTCCTCCTCTTTTTGACTGACTGTCCTTCTCTGTGACTAGTCCCTCCTGATAACATGTTCTGGACACCCTCGCTTCTGGTTGTTCTTCTTCCAAGACAGATTTGTTTTTCCCTCTGGCCGCCCAGGACACATTTACTAGTCTTCACCAACGCCACAATTCAAAAGCAGCAATGCTTCTTCAGTCTCCCATGTTCATTGCCCAGATTTCACATGCATCTGAAGCAACTGAACACACACACCGTGGTTTGCCTCGGAAGTGACATCGCTGCTTTTTAGTGTTTTAAGGAGACCTTTGGTAGTCGATGTGCCCAAGGCAATACGCCTTTGACTTCCAGACTGGTGCTTCCAAGGGTGCGGATTCTGGATCCAAGTAAGATGAACTCTTGTACAACCTCAAGTTTTGCTCCGTGTATCATGGTGTTGGCTACTGATCTAGTTGTAAGACATTTTCTTTATGTTTTAGTGTAATCCATACAGAAGGCTGTAATCTTCAAGTAAGGAGGGCTGGATGAACTACACATTGCAGGTTTCCAATGAGCCTTCCTCCAATTCTGATGTCACACTGTTTTTCATGTAGTCCGGCTTCTTGGGTTATTTGCTCAGCAGACAAGAGTGAGTAAGTATTGTGAAAAGATACAACTGTGATCGAAAGGATACCTTCCTTGATTTTAAGCAATGCAACATCCCCTTGTTTTGTATGCACAACTAACTGGTCTATGTGTGGGTTGCATGTGAATTGTTCTGGAATTCCCATTCTTCCCAACGCTACCACAATTTGTTATGATCCACACAGTTGCATGTGTCTGCATAGTCAGTAAAACACAGATAAGCCTCTTCCAAGGTCCATCTGATGTCCCTCCACATCCTCTTCTGCATTTGGCTTGGATTTCTGGCATTTTCTAGGTGACAAACTGCTGCAACTATTTTAATATCATCTTCACCAAAATTTTACTTGCATGCCACTATTAATAACATATGACACAGATGAATACAGAACACAGAGCCCTAAAATAATTCCATTCCCTAGCCTGACAAAGAAAGAAACTCACTCCCTGCCACTGACCTGATTGACTCACAGTGATCCTACAGGACACAGAACAGTTCCTTTGGGTTTCTGAGACTGTTCATCTTAACAGGGGCAGAGAGCTTCATCTTCATCTCCCTCGGAGAAGCTGGTGGATTTGAACTGACCTTGGGATTAACAGCTCAACAAAATAACCTACTAGGCAACCAGAATTCCTGAACATTTTAAAAAAAAAGAAAAAAGGGTGGGGTGGGGTGTTGCTGAAACTCCTTCCAAAATTCTTTCTGTGAAGCGGCAGTTTTCATTCCCAGCCTAGCTCAGGACAATGGAACTGTGCTTCGCCTGAACTGACCTGACCCTTGGCTCCTGCGCATCTCTCTCCTCCCCAGGTGGAGTGTCTCTGAGAGCTTGAGCTCAATCCCAGGGAGAGCCGCCATATGCTTTCACTCCTGTCTCGCCGAGACCCAGCAGCACCAGGAACACATTAGATACAGAAACCTTCCTGGTAATTAAGAACCCACAACCTTCTAGATGCTAACCAGAGGTGCTACTTTCAGGGGAGAGCACTGAGATTCCATTGTCTGCGGCTACCTTGTCCCCTATGAGACACGTGTGCTTCACCATGGTGGCCCGGTCCACTCAAGGAACAAATGCTCAGTGTCAGAAAGGGGACACGATGTTTTTTTTCTATGCATATACAGTGGGCTCACTCTGTGTACTCTATTTCACAAACAGCACTGCTCACGTAAACAACACGCCCATGTAAATAACACACACATGCATACAATGCAACTAGCCAGGGAAGGGACCAGGGGGTTGTATGGGTTTGCAAAAACACACTGCATCATTTGTGTAAAAACACAGTGTATGGTTTTGTGTCTTTTTCTAATTATATCATGAACATTTCCCCCAAGTCAGGTTATAGGTGTGCCAAATACACATGCCAAATTGGTGACTATTGCTGTGACTGAATGGAAATCTTATTTCTGAAGATTACTTTATGATATTTTTTACAATAGAAAACCCCGGTCTAAGGATATGAATATTTTTAGAAGCTAAAAATGCTGCTACAGAGAACAACTGTTTTCAATTTACAGTGCTTCAGCAGCACCAATCTGAGAAGACATGTTATCATTTAAATGTTTTATTGAGTGTTTCTTGATATACTAATAAGACCGAGCATGATCTTTTCATGTAATTATTTGTACTTCTTTTGTTAAATGTTAACATCTGCTTCTTTCCTGTTTCAGTCTGTGTTACTTTTCTTTGTGATTTAAAGAACACTTTCTATAAGAAAAATCATTGCTTTTGCTTTCCACATCCTAACTTGGGTCTAAGTAGTTTTTGGGGTGGACTTTTAAAACTTTTATGTTCACTGTCAGAGAGTAGGCACACAGATTTCCTCATGCATTTATAACAGGGGTTTCATTCTGATAACTGCATTTTTCACAAATAGTGTGCCCATGTAAATGATACAAAATGTAAACAATATGAAAATAATGAGAATATGAAAGTTTTTGTATAAGCACACATAACAAATATTAAAAGTGTCAGCATACTGGTTGCTTTTCTTAACTTCCTTTCCCCCCTTTTTTGGCTTTAAGAATGATTTTCTAGTTTGTAAATACATATGATTTCTTCTGACTTAAAAAATTATTTCAATTTGTACACTTAACTCTTTTAATTTGCCTGGGATTTACTGTCTGTGAGCTAAGAATTTAACTTGTATTTTTCTCTAATTAGCTATTTCCATCAGCAAATCTCGATATAATTCAATACAAAAATTTCCTGTCATCTCTGCAGAATTATCAAAAGGTACCTGTGACAAGAAGAGATTTATTTTGAGAACCTGTGTGCTTTTAGGCCCGGAAAGTGGGTCTGAGATGATGGAGTCTGTCCTTCCCGCTTAGCGATGAGAAAGCGGGTCTGCAGAGACTCAGGGTTTGGGGCAGGTGTCCTTGGTCTGGTCCAGCACAAGTCCCTGCATCCTACCTAAGCAGTAGTCTTTGATTCTCAACAAACAGGCCTGTACTGGGCTAATATTCCCCAGAGGATCCCCTTAAATAATTCCCAAATTCTGGTTTGCACTACAGCCAAGGCGAGGAGCGATGGGCCATTCATCCATACTCAACTCTTCTCCACAGGTGTCTGCCAAGAGCACACACAGAAATGGAAGGCACCATGACCATAGGTGGCAATGTCCACAACAGTCAGCTCTAAATCACAATCCCATGGCCAAGCCTTCTGGAAATCCAGAAAGATTTAAAGAAGAAAACAAAGACCACCCACAATTGCCTGCTCCTCAGTAACACTAGTTCAACATTTGTCCTCAGTCCCTCCAGGCATTTTACAGGGGTGCTCCTGTACAGAGCCAATGTACTCAGTTGTTTGAGGAAAGTGGGTTATAGTACACACATCTCTCTGTGTTCTTCCCATTGACGTAACATCACACTGGAAGTGTAGTTTCATGTCATCCTTTGTAATGACTGTATCATAATGTTCAATTGTGGAACAAGCTCACTTACGTAATTTTACTGAAGGGTATTTAGTGCCCTGTGATGTGTGTTCTTATAAAGACGTCTTTTCTAATGAGAATACCTCTAATCTTTTAAACAGCAAACTGCAACCTAGAATTCTCTGACAACATCAGCAATGAAACAATTAATAAACTCCTGTTTCCTAAAAGACAAAAGGAACTTTAGCAGGACTGAACTATCTCTACAGCCCGTTTTGTCCATCAAGATTTTGCTCCAAGTGCTTCCTCTCCCCCACATGAGCAGCTCTTTCACAAGTCCCTTCTTGGTACCACAGGCGCCCACCACCAATGGACACCTGCACCTCAGTCCTCAGGCCACCGCTCGCCTCCCAGTCTTCTTGGCCGTCTTTCTCTCTGCAGACCCTTCTTGTGCTCTTTCCTACCTCCACCAAACCTTCCCAAACGTGCAAATGAATAGCTGTTTGCGATCTTGTTTTGCCTTCCGTTTTCCTAACTGCAGACTTTCAAATCACTTCACTTCAAAGGGGTACAGGTGCTCAGAGTTTCTCTTGGATGACCTGGCAAAGACTTACACACTGCTAGTGACCAGAACAGGGCTGCTCCAGCCCGCCCGCCCTGAGCAGCACTTACTTGAGCAGTTCCAGGGTTCTGTGGTCCAGCGAGAGGCGGGGATTGCCAGTCAGGTCAAGGTCTTGAAGCTTTGGAGGGAGGTTTTCAGGTAAAGTGACTTCGCTAAGCTCATTACAGCTCAGGTCCACGCACTGCAAAAAAGAAGTGTACACAAGATGTCTGGAGAAGTGGCTAAGCCATATAAGTAGCATTCTCCTTGCACAAGATGTCCCTCTGACCTTTCAATACCCCAGAGGTCAAGGGCAGTAAAGAACCCTCTGGGCTATTCTGCCATCGAGGTTAGATCATGTTGTTAAATGCAGTAATAAATTTTACTTCTCAGAGTGCCCTTTATTTTGCCCATCACTGGCCTTTTATCTATCTCTCGACATCTAAAATTACTGTATGCTTATAAGCAGAGTTTTTCAGCATTTTTATGTCGTTTTTTGTGGTAAAATTAGGTGCCTCGGCGGATATTCGGGTCGGCTTATACTCGAGTATATATGGTAAGCAGTGACTGGAAATACCCTAACAATAGGATATTTTAATTTTTGCAAAGTGGCTGCTTGTGCCTGTTTAGGCTATACGAGCTCTAAAAGAAGCATCAAAATGAAAATTACTATGGAATTTTTCAACACAATAAGCAAGGAGAAGAGGCCGCTCACGATGAAAAGGAGCTGGACAGAAAGACCTGCAGACGGACCTGCTTGCCGTAAGCCTGGCACAGGCGGGAATGAATGGACTGATGTATACTGACTTATATAAATCCCATCCCTAATTTAGTGAATAAACGCATCTTTGGAATGTTTTCAGTCAATGCTTAATTTTAGATGTCAAGAGAAACTTAAAAGGACAATAATGGAAAGAATAACGAACTGAAAAATCTGTTAGTGTTGACGGCAGAGGAGTCAAGAGTTATTTTCCTGCACTTGACCGTGATAGTCATCAGAATAAATACAACAAACCAAAAGACAACACCGAAATCCAAACCCACTGACACCAAGTCAATTCCCACCCATATTGACCTTGTAAGAGGAAGCAGAACTGCCCCCTGTGGGTTTCTGGGGCTATCAATCTTTACCAGAGTACAGAGTAGGAAGCCTCATCTTTCTCCTAAGGAGGAGCTAGTCGTTGCGAACTGTTGACCTTGCAGTTAGCAGCCTAAGCTGTAACCCACTAGGCCACAAGGGTTCCTTAAAATGCTCTATCTGGTCTTGAGAGTAATGCCTCCCCCACGCTGGAAAACAGTGTATGGTGGAGCTTTAAAAGCTGGGACTACACTTCCGTGGGGCAGCAGAGAACCAGGGTGGAGACAAAGTCAGCTGACGGGCAATGTGGCTGGACAAGAGGGTGTGTAATTTGCTAGACCAGCGGGAGGATGTAGCACATTCATGGATTAATAATATTGTAACAAAAAAAATACCCACAGAGCTGATTAAAAACCTCAAGATAGCTTGTAAAGGAGAACTGTTTCTAAGAAATGTAGGATCTTAAAAGTGAATAAAAACCTTCCTTTTAAATAAAATAAACTCAAATACCACCCCTACCCCACCCCCACCCAATGCATTGCCATCGAGTCGATTCTGCCACAGACACCATATCTAGGGAGACTAGAACTGCCCGTGGGGTTTTCAAGCAGGGGCCCCTCTTTCTCCTGTGGATGGGCAGTGGATTCCAACCACAGGCTGTGTTAGCAGCCAAGCACTTAACTTCTGCATCACCAAGGCTCCTCGGGAGGGTGGGGCGAGGAGGCTGGGTAAAATGAAAAGCTGTTTTGGGCAAAATATCTTCACACTCAATATCATACCCTTGTTCTCACATAATAGCAGTGAGGTAAGCTATGTTATCATTTTAAATCACTGCATTGTGCCACAGGGGGATGGAACCCTTGGTACAAAAAGTGGGTATAGCACTAAAGGGATCCCTTTAAAGACACAAGAGCTCCCAGGAGACCCATTGTTGGAGACAGCACAGCTGCTCCCTGGACGGTAGGCATTAAACTCAAAAGCCAATACCCCTGTCATCCAGTCAATTCTGACTCATTGTCACCCTATAGGACAGGGTAGAACTGCCCCTGTGGGTTTTGGAGGCTATAACTCTTTGTGGGAGTAGAACTCTCAGCTTTCACCCTCGGAGCTGTTGGCGGTTTTGAACCGCTGAGCTATGGTTAGCAGTCCAACATGGAATTCACTATGCCACCAGGGCTCCTGAGGTGTGTAATAATTTATTGGAAAAGCGTGACTTGGAAGTTAGACCTGTTAAATTATTTTTTAAAACTAGAATTTAAAACACAAAACAGAACACTAGCTAGGGTTGCCTCAGAACAACCAGTCTGAGAACTACCCAGAGTCCACTGGTCTGCTCCTGGTGAGACAGGGACACTAAATTGAACACCAAACTCATAGCTGTGACTCATAGCTACCTATTAGGGCAGGGTAGCACTGCCCCTATGGGTTTCTGAGGGAGCAGAAAGCTTTAATTTTCTCCCTTGGAGAGGCTGGTGCTTTCGAACTGCTGACCTTCAGGTAAGCAACCCAACTTGTAACCACTATGCCACTACAGCTGTGAATTAAATGGCCACTTCTAGCAGAAGCTGCTGCTTCTTTCCTCTGCCCTCTGAAACTAAGACCCTGGCAACACCAGAAGCCCATATCCACTGCCATCCAGTTGGTTCTGCCCAGTAGCAACCCTGTAGGACAGAGATGAACTGCTTTAAAGAGTTTGTTAGGCTGTAATCTTGACGAAAGCACACTATCTCCCTCAACTCTCCCCCAGAGTGGCCGAGGGGGTCAAACCACTGGTTTTTTGGTTAGCAGCCAAGTGCTTAAGTATGGTGTCACCAGGGTTCCTTAACTAAAATTTCCTGGACAACTGTACCTCAACTAGATTCCATTGCGTAGAATGACCCTGAGGTTTACTAGGGCAACTTCTCCACGTAAGTGACCCCATCCCTTGGGCCCCTGAGCTGTGGTCATCTCCATTACCCGGCTTGCCAAGGAATGGGTCCCACTCTCACATCCACTCCGCCCCAGACATTTCCCCAACCACCTCCTCTCCTCTCCACACTCCTTCCAAGTGACAGTCAACTTCCTGTACCCATTGTTCTGCAGAGTGGCATAGGAAACACACTCACTCTCCACTTCCCAATTAGATCAATCCCAATCCCTGAGATGAGTGCATTCGCTCATTGGAGTGGTTTTAAACAGCTGCGCCCAGACAGACAGACATGCTTTTGAAGGGTATTTTAAACATCTGGAAGGGTGCTGCTCACCTAGGAACAGAACCAAGCAGCCTCAGGAGTGAGAGCATCTGGCACAGAAGCTCCAAATAACGGAGCTTAAACCCCAAGTTCCCTGCCCTGTGGGGCTCATGATGACTGCCCTTTTAAATCACTGCATTGCGCCACATGGTGGAGCAGGCCCTGCTGAAAACACACCGGGGAAGGGTTAGAGTAAGTCACAAACTGACTTACTCTACCTGGTTCCGTACAAAGGCCTTGAGGAAGGGGACCCGAGTGTCACTCAGGGGCATCTCTGATTTTCAGGCACTTAAGCTGCTCACTGCTTGGTCCACCCAAGCCCCATGAGGTAGGGGTCTGGGAGCCCGTTTGCCCTGTGAGCTGCATCCAGAGATATGTCTGTCTATGTTAGAACAGTCTCCAACCTAGCATGGGGCTCTAATCCAAGGACGCCAGCCTAAGTTGGCTCTGATCTAAGTTGAGCACCTCCTTTCTCCTCATAGCCTGCTATATAGCAGTGGTTTCTTAACAGCAACGCATAACCATGAACATCTGCGAGTGAACATCTGAGCATGATCACATCCGCCAAGTACGCGTCACAGCACCACCGGAAGACGTTCACATTACTAATGACGAGAAGTACAAAGAAGGGAGGCAGCAAATTGCAGTACTTCCTGATTTGAATACACTGTGCAGTCAGGGACCACCTGCACCCGTGATCCTCTCCCTGTCTAATTACACTGCCTGCTAAGCTTTTATGCTCTCCACGATCTTAATACTTTTTAAGAGATACTTGATGAGGACTGCACTTTTGATCCAAGAGTGTTTTGTTTTGTTTTTCCTTCTGAGAAGCAATTTGAATATGATCTAGGGTTATTAAACTCAATAAAAGCTTAATACAGGCAGGAACTTCTCAACCTAAGAATGAGATGATTTCACGCTAAAGCATTCTCTAGGACTCAGTTTACAATGAAGACTTTAACAAAACCTCTTCACTGTGAATTGGGTGAAGGTTTGCAGAGAAATTCATGGGGCTTGCGTTCAGTTAGTCGTCTGCATTGTGTTTCATCTCACTGCAGTTCTCTCTATCCACCATCACCTATCCCACTGCTTCTCTGTGCCTCCTGTCTCCACTCCCACCTTCTTTCCTGAGCTTCTAAACTTCTCCCTTCGGTAAACATTGCCCTTTTGAGCTTAAATGGTTGATTGTACTAAGGTTTGTGTACCTCACCAAGGTTATTGTTCCTTTAACAGACCTGTTTATTGTTGCTGAAATTTGAGCCACCAAGATGACTTCTGGTCCACACCAGTCTCCATCTGACTAGTAAGCCTGGTCTCGTGATTTTGAGTTCCATTCTACATTTTTCTCCCACTCTACTTTGAACCTTCTAAAGGTGGTCAGGAGAAACCAGTCCCTGGAGAAGGGCATCATGCTTGCAAAGCAGAGGGGAGTAATAAAAGAGGAAGGCCCTCACCAAGATGAACTGGCACAGGGACTCAAACATAAGGACTAGTGTGGGGCTGGCAAGGGGAGGGGCAGTGTGTACGCAGGTCCATCTGCTGTACACAGGGTCCCAGTGAGTCAGAATCGACTTGTCAGGTTGCCACCTTATAGCAACAGCAGCAACAACTAAGTGGCAGCTGGGTACCTTCTCGTTCTTTTGGTCTTAGGTCTGGACTAATTGTTTCCATGCATCTTTCAATTTTCATCACTCTTCTTTCCTCCAGATAAGGACACAATGGAAGTTTTCATAGAAGCCCTGATGGTGGCATTGTTCGGTAAGCATTGGATTGCTAACTGCAAGGTCGGTAGTTCAAACCCACCAGTCATACTAAAGGAGAAAGATGAGAATGCTTGCTACTGTAAAGTTTTACAAAGCCTTGCAAACACAACATAGGGTCAGTATGAGTGGGAACTGACTTGATGGCTATGGGTTTGGGATGTCTACTATTTGAGATACTACAACTATTTCTGCCAGGAATTTTCTTGTGGATGGTTTAAATATAACAGCAATTTCAAATATCCTCATATAAAAGAATGCAAAATATCAATTCAGATTTAGAAAGCAATTCAACTACAATTCTCCCCCCTCCCAATAATATTATCTATCTGGAACTAAAATTATAGTTGGGCCATAAATTTAGGGAACTTGATATTGTTCATCCTCCTGCTTCCCTGTCCCAAAAGATCCAGCAACAAAAACCACAGTGAAGCTAGAACAGATGTAACTGAAAAAGGAAAAGCCAGAGGGCAAACACTGGGACATCCTGAGACAGCAATGCCCGAACACGATTCTAAAGAAGTTGTAGTGCGCAGCACAGGGAGCGGAAGGAGTGAAACAGGAAAAGGCGGCATTGGTTTGGGGGGTCCGGGATTCCAAGCAAGAGTCTTGGAGATAAGAAGTTTTCATATAGTAAAGTTTCAGATTTCACGAAATCTACTCAAATCCTTTAGAAAAAGTAAATGTCTACCTGTATTTCAGACTTTCAGGGCCCTAGAAGTGCACTTGGCTGCTAAACAGAAGGTGGGTGAGTCAACCCTGTGGGTTGTTCTACTCTGTCCTACAGGGTTGAATGCACTTGGGGTATCAAGAACCCCACACTCGAAGCAACCCAGCAACACCACCAAGTTCTATGACATTAAAAAGCAGGTGCAGAAACAATGGTCAGCAAACAAAAGGCTCACCCTGAAGTTCTGTAACTCAGCTTGGTGCATGGTACAGAGAGATCAGCCCAAGAACCCCAGCACCCAATACCCCGGCTGTTGCCCTAGAGGCAATTCTGACTCAAAGTAACCCTACAGGGCGGAGCAGAACTGCTCCGTCTCGTCTCCTCTGGATGGAAGCAGACCACTCCATTTTTCTCCACCTGACCAGCTGCTATGGGAATCTCCAACCTTCGGTTAGCAGGTGATCACTTAACCCTCACTAGGGCCCTCCACCACTCTCCCAAGTTCACATAAAAGAAACAAATGAGCTTGCATTTAGACCCTCTGCATCTCCCCGCACCCCCACACACCAGAGAGATTTGAAGGCCAAGATGACGAAGCTGTTTGCTCCCTTTCCTCCATGGCGTTCATCTCAGCGCATGAGGGTCAGACCCGAGTCGGCCAAACCAGAGAAAGCCGCAGCCACCGACGGATGCCTTTGTGTACAGAGGTCCCTTCATCTTCACCATCACCATCTCAGTGTCCTCAGTCATCCAGTGAGGAAAATGGGTGTCTGTCCTGCCAACCTCACTAGGTGGAAATGAATGTTGGCAGCCATGCTGGCTCTCTCTAGGGCACCATCACTAGCTAGTTGAGTCCTGGCGTGCATGCTTTACTTCATCAGGTGAGTCAGGATCAGGGGTTACACAGGGCTCTTATATCTGACACATCCTTTAAGCCTCAACCTCCCCAGCCCAGTCCCCTGGAAAGACAGGCCAAGGATGACTACAAACTTGGAGAAAGCGGCAAGAGAGAGTTATGTGGCTCGCCCCACATGAAACAGCTACTTAGGGTCAGAGCCCAGGAATATATTTTTCTCTGTCTCCTCTCTGCCAACTCCTAGGGTGCCCAGCGAGGCAAGGGAACTGGAGAATCTTCATTCTAAGAACACCCAACAAAGTTGCAAGCTTCTTGAACTGGGGACTTTGTGGGGTGGAAGCACACACCTTAATTTCTGGGAGCTGCATGACCTCAGGGAAGACTTCAATGCAATTGGAGTGGGCAATGACAGTGTGCATGCGCCTGCAGTTCATGATGGTGGTCGGGATGGCTTTCAGCTGGTTCCCACTGACATCGATCTCCTCCAGCTCTTCCAGCTTCGCCATTTTACTAGAAAACCAAAACCAGCGGGGAATAGGATTATACACTAATCATAAGTCCATTTAAAAGGAGTCCAGGTCAGATGATCCCTTCAGGACCAGTGGTGATATCAGGAGGGTGGAGGGATGGTGGGATATAAAGGGGGAACCAATCACAAGGATCTGCATATAACCACCTCCCTAGGGGGCGGACAACAGAAAAGTGGGTGAAAGGAGATGTTGGACAGTGTAAGACATGAGGAAATAATAATTTATAAATTATCAAGGGTTCATGAGGGATGTGGGATAGGGAGGGAGGGGGGAAATGAGCTGATACCAAGGGCTCAAGTAGAAAAATACTTGGAGACTGATGATGGCAACAAATGTACAAATGTGCTTGACACAATGGATGTATGTATGGATTGTGATAAGAGTTGTATGGGCCCCCAATAAAATGTTAATAAATAAATAAAGCAAGCAAGCTAATATATAGTAAAACTCAAAGGGGGAAACTTATTATGACATTAGTGATTCTTTAAAGGTTCACCTGTATCTTTGGTTTTTTTGGGGGGGGTGTTCCCCCCCCCCAATTATGAGTTTTGAAGAACTTTAATACCTCTTTTCCCACAACAAACCAAAAACCATGCACCACAACTCCTCAAATTGGCAAATTAGAGAAAAATGTGTTTTTTGTCACAGAAACCTGTGCACAATGAAGTTAGCCTGCAACAACCACTATGTATTGCTATGTATCTGAACTCCCCCGAGAGTCCTATTTAAAACAGTTCAGAAGCCAGCATCAGCCCGTCAGAACTGCTTGGCGGAGAGCCTGTCTCTGCACTGCCAATGAACCTGCAGGATGTAAAGGCAAATATGTCTGAGTGGTTTTCTAGTAAAGGCCCACTTCCCACGCTCCCCTGAGTGTCCACCATGCAGTGGTGGTGCAACCAGGGTCATGGGTTGGCCTCGCAGTGCCTGAGTTCCAAGTGTGCTCCCAAGAATCTCCACTCCTGCTCAGGAGCTTCAAGTAAGGAAGCTCTACAACCTTGTATTACTAAAACCTTCTCATGGAATCTGACATTTTCATTTATTTCATTTTTTCATCTCATTTCATCTCATCTCATTCCATCTGACATTTCATTATTTCACAAATAATCTCAGTAACCCAACGGACAAACAGTTCAGAGGGAGGTGGCCACTGCCCTCTGTGAGCCCTTGAGTAGCATCTACCACTCCTCTGATGCTTGCTCTACCTGAGGACGCTGAGCTACGGTACATGTGACTTACTCATAACCCATGGGCATCAAATGAGGAAGAAAAAAATAATCATGAAAAAATAAGTATCTAGTACAATATTTGGTGCACCTTGGGGTGTCCGGTCAGGGCTGAAACAGACGGTAGCCTCCCCGCACCCCACAACACTGAGGCTGCACCAGTGTTCTTGCCTGGCAAGGGCAGGCTGGGCCTGAAGTGCAGGTTCTAGCACGGAGCTGTGTGTGTGTGGGAGTGTGCTCTCAGCGCTAACTTGTGAGGTGGGCCAAGGCTGGTGAAATGGAAACTGACAAACCACTCTCGGCAGGCTCAGTGAGCCGAGTCACTTAGAGCTGGACAAGAGACCACAGTTACCAAGTCATGGACATGAATAATAATCCCCTAAAGCCACTCGATATTTGTAATGCCCACCTCTGCCCACTCATTTCCACGGCTGCGCACAGCGCCATTGCTTCTTGAGAGGCGGCAGGTAGTGACTCATCTCCCCGCGCCTAGTCCACCTTCTAATCATGGTAGGGGTGGAAAAAACTGACCTGGGTGCTTCAAAGAAACGAGAGAAAAGGATACCCGCTATTCTACTGGGTCTCTGGCGACATTCTCATTAGTAAAATGGACAGATTTCTCTGGAGAACACTGATCCTGGCTTGTATGAAAGACCACTGTGTGGCCAGAGATTGGGGGTGTGTGGGCTTTGTTTTCTCCTCCCCCCTCAGCACCTGGAAATCCACTTTGGGCAATTCGGTGATGTGCATCAGGTTTGGGCCATCTTTACCTTGCGGGAAAACTTTGCAGTCTGTTGTAGGCCATGTGGAGGATCTTCAGGTGGGGGTGCCCGGTTAACAAGGGCACACACTTATCCGTGAGGGTGTTGTTTGTCAGATATAACTCCTGTAGGATGCTGCTCGTCTCCTCAGACAGTGTGGCCGGGGGAAGCGTTTCCAGTCTGTTCGCTGAGGCATTCAGGAATCTCAGGCTACAATGACAAAACACAAGACCTGCTGGGGGACGGAGGCTTGAGTACAGCATCCTACATGGCTTCTGCCTGATACCAGGCACAAAACAGTCATGTAAGTTCACAGGCACCTGAACACCTGGCCCAACAGTAGGATCACAAACAACTCCCCCCACCCCACCCCGCCTCCTCAGCAGGCGAGACAGCAGAAAGCGAGACAGCAGAAAGCGGGAGGAAAGGCAGCTAGAGAAGGGGAGGGGAGCGACAGGTAAACATACTCTGAATTAAGGAACGAGAACAAAACTCTGTTTTTTAAACAAGAGGTTTTTTTTCTTACAGGATTAAAAAAAAAAAAAAAAACAACTACTAAATTACACGGTTATTCTAAGTCTCTTTTCATCCAGTTACTTAAACCATTTTTCACTGACATACATTCACAACTGTAAGAGAGAGTTCCCCGTTTAGAAATGGCAGATGGTCTACAGCAGGGGTGTCAAACTGGCGGCCTCCTGAGGTAATTTTTTGTGGTCCACAATGCTCTGAAATAAAATGTAACGAGGGAATTGTGTGTATGGTATTGTCTCGATCTCCCCTAAGCACTATTTTCTTCATAACGTTTTTTTTCTATTTTCATTTTATTTCAGAGCATCGTGGGCCACAAAAAATCACCTCGGGGGCGGCACCCATCAGTTTGACACCCCTGGTCTACAGCAATGTGACTGAAGACTGATAATTCCATGCGGCCACAGGATAACCCTCCCAAGCGGGGATCATGTAACCTCAGATCAACAGGACTCGGAAGGCAGTCCTGAATATACTGTGGGTTTGGTGTTGGTTGCTAACTGCAAGATCAGCAGTTCAAACTCACCCATCGCTCCTTTGGGGGAAAGATGAGGCTGACTGCTCCAGTAAAGATTTACAGTCTTGGGAATCCTGTATAGGTTCACTATGAATTGGAATTGACTTGGGGGAAGGAAGGGGGGCATGTTTAAAGTTAAAAGGCCAAATCCTTGGGGCACTGGAAGTCATGGTGTGGCTACTTAGGTGGGAGGTGGGGGGGCTTCTCTGAGTCTTGGGGGCTGTGATAATGTTCTGTTCTTATTCGAGCTGCTGGTTACACAGGGGAGCTCACGCTGAGAAAAGCCACCAACCGGGGCAGCAGTGAAGCACTTGGCTGCGTACAGAAAGGTAGGCAGTTTCGACCCACCAGCTGCTGTGAGGGAGAAAGCTGTGGCCATCTGTTTCCATCAAGATTCCCAGCCTTGGATCCCCTCTGGGGCAGTTCTACACTGCCCACTAGGGTCACTCACCATGAGTCAGAATTGACTCGACAGCAATGGTTATTTATATTACACTTCAGTGACATTTGCATGAGAGGAAAAAAAGAAAAAGTTTCCAAATGATAGATGCACCAGGGGATAAAATCTAAAGTATGCTTTAAACCCAAAATAAAGACAATCGTTACAAAAGGCCTAGTTCTCCCCCAGCTTCTGTGAGCACAGGGAAGTGTAAACTGCAGAGCCGGAGAGCTGAGGCGGCAGCCTTGCTGTGGGCTGGCTCTGCAGGATCCCGGGACTGTGGACTGTGACCTATGACGGGGACTAGGGCAGGTCCTGAGTCCAGCTCCCGTTGCACCCCAGCAGACCTGGCTCCCCTCCCCCTGGTCACAAGATCACACGGGCCACACGGGTCACAAGATCACACGGGCCACACCTCTCACCAGGATCTACCTGGGCCACACTTCTCTTTCCAAGCCACCGGGGTTGGAATACATTAGATTTCGGTCTTGTCTGTCCCACTTTGTTAGGAGAAAAACATTACAGTCCTCCTTAATGTGAAAGCACATGAAAACCAGGTACGCATTCACTTTCTCTCTCAGGTACAAAGAAGGTCTTGTATTCAGGGGTTATCACGAGGACCACAGCCCCAAGCTCTCAGTCCTGACCTAACGAATACTACTACCCGATCATACACCTCCCCAGCCTGGCCCTACACACCACTCCCCCAAAGCTGTGATTTATCTGAGCAAAAGCAGTTTCCCCAAAATAGAACATTTTCCATTGAAGAAACACGTATTCCGTTGACATTTTTAAAAAAGGAAGTTGGGGAAGGGTTGTAGGGACCATAAATAGTCAAGGGAAATTACAGGACATGGGAGGGAGGACGCCGCCCAGACAGTCTCTGAAATGGTGCTGAGCCAGGAAGGAGTTTCAGCACCGCCCTTCTTTAAAGCCCTTTTCGTCCTAGTGAAATACCCTGATTCAAATGTCCTGCTCAAGACCCCGCTCACGCGGACGTATCCTTACTCAGCAACACCCTGTGACCTCAGGGACTGGACTGGCTGGGAAGCAAACTGTCCATCTCATTCAAAATTCAGTTCCCTGAGAAAAATGCAAGAATAGATATATTCAAAAAAAGAGCAAGGTGAGAGAACGGATTCACCAAAGTCTATATAATTTTCCACTAAAAAAAGAGGGAATGGTTTTATTGGGGGAAACTTAAGAAATGAATGTTCATCTAGGAAATTGCAAGGGGGACTTGAAAACTCATGGTATTTGAATGACAGGAAGAAAACGACTTCGGAAAGGCACATTCTGCTCCTCTTGTTTGAAAATTCCCTTTGCTTAAGGATCTCTACTGCCCCCTCAGGGGGCCGTGGCGGGGCCGCACCCTGCCTGCCACAAAAGGAACATCCCGGACTGGAAGGGCTCCCTCTGAACTGGGGTCTTCAACCTCAGGCCAGTTAATGGTCAAGGAGCACACACGTGGACTAAGTAGGTGCCAGAGCATAATGGCCTCAGCACGCAAATTTGATGTCCATCAGCTTAAACATGTAAGCATGCAGCTCTTCTCTGTAGAGACCACAGCTTCACTGAATGAGCAGAAGCTAGAATCCCACTGCCTGCCTCCAACCCTCTAAAGACTTCAAATTCCTAGAGCACTGAGCTTGGCCTCATCTCACTGGGACGTGATAACCATTTTCGAAATGATCCTTCACAGCTTTTCATAATTAAAAACAAAACAGCGATCACTTAATATGCCAAGAAATGCTTCCCTACCTAACCTGTCTCGTGATGCAACCCCCTTTAAGTCGGAGAAAAACGCAGCAGCATGGACACCCCCACTTGCTGTGTGTGTGAAAGGTGTCTGCGGAGTCCACAGCTCTCCTGGATGCCCAGTCATCCCAGATTTCACAAAAGGCAGACACCGCCGCCGAAGAAACCGAAATTGCTTGGCAATGGTTCCACAGTGATAGTGGCAGAGGTGCAAATAAACCCCAGAGCCCCTCAGTCTCGAGTCTACTGCTCCCAACACACAAGTGCTTAAAGCAACAATGAAAGAAATTTTTTCTTAAGGGCATTTTATGGGCCCTTTAAAATTCCCCCTACCCCCAATAAGGTCAAGCAAGGCCCTGCTCAGGTAGTGCATGAACAGCACAAAATTCAGGAAGTATTTTGTCAAAGTCATAAACAACCAAAGGTAAATGAGATGATTGAGACCTATCAAAAATTAGATACTTAATGTGTATCAAAAGATTTCATCGAAAGAGTACAGAAAACCCACAAAGTAGGTAATAAAACTTTGGCAATGACTATAGAACAAGGAAATAGCTAACCTTTATAGATGACCTACTCACCTCAACAAGAAAAAGACAAATACTGAGATTTTTTTACATTTGGCACAGGACACCAACAGACATGCTACCAAAGAAGACATTCATGAGACCAACATATGAGAAAGTGCTCATGATAGGCAGCCACTTGTGAACTGCAAATCAAAACAAGATATCACCATCACCATAGCCCAGCATGCCATCAAAGTTAAAACAAAAAGCAAACAACAAATGCTGGTGAGGGTGCAGAGACTGGCACCCTCACATGTTACTGGTGAGACTGCAACATGGTGTAAACCACTGTGGGAAGTGGTATGGCCCTTCTTCAAAAAAGTTTAGAATAGGAATACCATTGACCCATCAGTCCTTCCACTTAGTATATATGCTAGAGAAAGAACTGCAGCAGGAATCGATACAGGCACACCATGTTCCTCCCAGAGCTACTCACAACAGCAAAAAGACAGAAACAACCTAAGTGTTCTGCAGTGAAGAATGGACACACGTACGTGCAATGCAATGCTGTGTAGCACTGTAGAAAAACAATGACTCTGTGAGACACTTCAGAGCCTGCAGTACCCCATACTGAGTGAAATTATTCAATCACAAGTGGACAAACTGTATGAGACCACTGTTATCAAATGTCAAAAAAAAATGTGAAACTAAAAGAAACATTCTTTCAAGGCTACTAGAGACAGAAAAGAATTTTGGGGGTGGGGACCCACTGGCTAGTGTGCAGATGACTGTTAACTTGGGTGAATGGTAAGGCAATATACAATCAGAGAAAGGTTAAGACAAAATGACGGAGGCAGGGAAAGACTGGGAGGTTTGCAAAAGGAAAAGGAAAACCAGGAAAATACTAGTATATACTCACTCTCACTGCCAGTGAGTCAATTCTGCCTCATAATGGCCCGATAGGACAGGGCAGAAACTGCCCCTGTGGGTTTCCAAGACTGTAATTCTTTATGGGAGTATAAGTCTCAGCTTTCTCCCTTGGCACTGTTGGTGGTTTCGAACTGCTTATCCTGTGGTTAGCAGCCCGCTATATAACCACTACACCACCAAGGCACAATCCTGTAATAGTGGTGATCTAGGAGTAGATGCTTGCAGACAAGGAGGCTGAGCAGAGGTAAAAAGAAAAGTGGGATAGACTTAAGAACATATATATATATACACACACAGCCAAACACATATGTTTGAAAGAGGTTATTTATATCCGTGTATTTTACATCTATGAATGTGGTGGAGCATACAGAGCTATAGAAACTTCATAGACATAACCAAACACCTTAAGGGAATGAGGGGAGGGGACTGGGGGACCAGGATCATAGTCATGGGGGGGGGTTGGCATAATATAGCTCATAAAGACAATGTTCTACATCCTGCTTTGGTGGGTAGTGACTGAAATCTA